TTTCCGTAATGTCTTTGATGCCCACATCGGTGTCCAGTTTAGTCGCATCGAAGTTCGAGTCGATAGCGTCCACACACTTAAAGCCATCCGTCGCTACCTTTTGAAAGCATTTGTTTTTCTGTAAGTCATCCAATGTATTGCCAAATGCACTGTTAGCCAGCACAACCAGTGCAAACATGCATAATCCAAGTTTAGGCATTTTACTTTAATGTGATTTAAAGTAACTCAATTGTTTTGTTTGTTAACTTTTTTATTTAGTATAACATTCAGGATAATATTTATATGTTTAGCAACACACGTTTGTTCCCATTTAGCAAGTTCCTATTGGTTTATTATTTAAAATAGATAATTAGTACTATTAATAATATAAGGATTAGGATGTACAAATCCTATTATCCTAAATTAATGTCTGACAATGCTGTTTTAATTTCCCATTTATTTGTTTGCAATAAATCTATTATATAATGTGGTCTAATCTGTATCATGATTTAATGTCCTACAAAATTGCGATTTAAAAGTACAATTTATCAGATAATATATTGTTGACTTTGTAATATTTTATAAACGAAAATAAATTTTGTTGTCAATGTCTATATTATAAAATAATAATTCAAAGTCAAATTGCTTATTTTGCATTAATCAAACAATAATCTAATTATTATCATAATTAATTAAACTGACTATTTTAGGTTGGGTAACATTTAATATAATGATTTATCTTTAGTATGTTAAAGAGTGTATAAAAACTAAATTGATAAGGCTTAAATATTTGTATATAATTTTATATTAAATCAATTTAAGTTTTAAATATTGTTTAAAACTTTATGTATTTAAATTATACCGTACTCACGTAAGTGTGTATAATTAAATAAAAAGTTGTATAAATAATATAAAATAATTATCTTTAAATAACAGTAATATTAAATATTTTTATGCAGCAAAACATTTATTTACAAGATTTTAATAATGCAAAACAATTTGATTTTAGTTAAATTTAGTTAAATGTAAAAACATATAAGTTTACATTTTACACAAAATTGACACTAATCTTATAGATAGAGAATTTATTATAAAAATATTGTCGTTAATCTTAATTCAATTTTCTTCAGATATTTTTAATAAAAATTCTTTTATTGATTAAAATTATTAAATATTGATTTTAAAAACTTTTCATTCAATAAAATTAAAATTATTTTTTATTTAAAATTTCCTTCAGTTTAGCGGCCAATGCGTCTAAATCAATGCCATTGAGTCCGGTTAGGGCGACCCCACCACCCGTGCCTTCAATTGTCAAACTCTCAATCACCACATTCTTGATGACTAGCTTTTCAATCACTTGTGTCCCATCATCCGGGTCCTCAGTGACTACCGGGGCTCCAGTTGTACTCGCAATGGGTGCATTTGTTGTGGGTGTAGGTGCCGCACAAATTTCAGTTTTATTAGTATAAGGATACTCGGAGCATTGTGCCTTGTCTAAATTAGCAATGCCCTGGCTAACTAATTTTTGTACCTCTAGGTATTGGTTTTGCGTGCATTCTTCCTAAGTATAGATAATAAATAATAATTTAGATAACAATTAAAATAAATAATTTATTATGTATAGTTAAAGTAATATATTAAATTATTATAAATTGTTTAAAATTTTATCATATTTCTATAATGTACCTGTATACATAATAAATAAATTATACCTTAACTACAGCTACTTAAAATATGCAATAAAAACATTATATATATTTTAAATGTAAGTGTTTCAAAAATAAATAAATTTAATTAATTTAAAAGGTTTTATAATAGCCTAAATAATATGATAATATTTATTAATAAAAATCTACTAGATACCTTTGCTAGTTGCACATTGCAGTCAAACTTGACCCACGACTCGCAGCAATCAAATTGAACCTGGTTATTATGGGGGACTTCTACCTTGGCAGCACACTCTACGAGACTGGTGCTTATTTGTGTGAAGCATAAGTATGCATCCTGATCAGGGTCTATTGGCGGTAGTGGGGGTATTATGGGGGGTAGTGTAGGCAGTAGTGGTGGGTTATCGCAGTAGCAAACTTCCTTTTTCAATGGCATAAGGGTAGTTTACACATTTTCCCGCATTTAATAAGGCAATACCCTCGACTACCAGTGCGTCCACTTCCAGCACCTGGACTGTAGTGCATATTTTCTAAGTTTATTTTAAAAATATATTTATAATTTTATATAAGTTTTATGAGAAAAATATTATACCGGTGCAAATATAAGTTGGCAATCGTACTTGATCCATGACACGCAGCAATCAATTTGCTCATGGCTAGTTAAGTTGTCAGGCAATAGCACATTGGCTATACATTCGGTCACATTTAACTCCATTTTACCCATACATTTGAGACCCTCATGACCTGGATTAATGGTGGGCAGGGCTGTTGGTAGGATTGTAGGTAGGGCTGTTGGCAGGATTGTCGGTAGGGCTGTTGGTAATATTGGTGGTAATGTGGGTAAAATACCAAATAAATTACCCTGTACCGTAGCCACAGCTAAACATAATAGAACACTGATCAAATAACTCTGTTGCATTTTTGTTATGCTAAATATATACTTTATTAAAAATGGTAACCAAATTGGTTAAATGTGCGACTTATTTATAATAATTTTTTATCAAATTAAATCATATTTTTTTTATCTAGAGTAATATAATTTATTAATTTATAATTTTTATTTTATTTGCTAATTGTTTGATGTTTTATGCAATATGAAATTAAATTTATATTATTTATATAATAATCGGTTTATTACCATAAAATAAAAACATTTATTGTACAAGATAAGTGATGCAAACACATCATTTATTATATTGTTTTTAATGAAAAATACCAATTTTCTTGTACACATATTTATAAAATGTATAGTTAAACAAATGTTTACCGATATTAATTAAATTTAATTATGAAATATCTATATTAATTTTATAATAGTTTAGTTTATTGTTATAGTTATTATTATTATTATTAAATTGGTAAATAATATAGTAAAATGTAATTAAAATAAATTATTTGTATTACAAGTTCAATAAGTACTGGTTATCAATTTTGTTTAAATTTTATATTATTAGAATATAATAAAAACAAAAATTATATTTTTGCTATAATATGGTAGGTAAATATATAATTATTTAAATCACTACAATACAACTGGTTGAAACATTTTAAGTGCATTTTAATAAGTAGAGAATTTATAATAATAATTTTTAAATATTATATTTAATACGATATATTTAATATTAATTTTACAAGTATAATCATAATCAGTTATTTTTTTTAATGAAAACAAATTAAGTATCGTAAGATATATGATACCTGATTTATTACAGGTCGTA